CCCAAAAGACATAAAGTATACTTACGGTTTCAAGAACATCCCCAGTCCAGTGCCACATCGAAGCATATGCACATGCTAGTTCTTGAAACCCTTACCTCATCCTACTGGGTTCCCAAAATGGAAGTGTTTCACACAATTCCCTACTCAATTAAGAACCATGGGCCAAGAATGACTCACCTCTGGGTAACCCCAAACTCCAGGGCAGAGATAGCGGAAGGGGGAAAGTCCTAGGACAACAGCATCCTCTATGTCGTGTCCCGAGGCTTATAGGACCACGGTTCCAGGGGCTGGCGGCCTAAAGCCCACCCGCACACCTGCGTCCGGCCCAGCTAGCTGACGGTCACCAGCAGACCCCGTGAACTGAGCGGGGAGCCCGGCGGGTCCTTCGAGCTTAGTGGATTCCCTAGTCACCCGGCCCTAGTTAGGCGTGACCTTGGCTGACCCGCACTAGGAGCCTCAGCTCCCCACGTGTAAAAGGCGCACAAGGACAAGTACGCCGACACCAGGAACCAGAAGGACAGAGGGCCGGTGCAGAGCCCGAAGAACGCACAGCCGGGCGGAGGGCTTGCACGAAGGCGCAGAGAAGGGCCCAATTCTCTCTCCCTCCCTTCCTTATTTGATCCCTAACAGCTACCTAGGAAATAGCCCCAGGCCTGGACTCGCGTCTCCACCGAGGAGGGGCATTGTCGCCCATCAGCTTCTGTCACGTCATCGGAAGTCCGGCCTCCACCTCCGCGGGAGGTACCGGCTCTGTCCTGGGTCGTCATTGGATGAGTGTCCGCCGCCCACGCACAAGCACAGCCCTCTGGGTAATGTAGTTTCTGTCTTGCATCCCGCCCTCCCCATTCTCCACAGCGAAGGCCAAACAACCCTGCGAGACCCTGGAAAACAATGTTGTGCAGTTCCAAAGATGACCACGCTAGATTTCTGTGGCCATGCTGGTCAAAGCCATCCACAAGAGATATCGAATTGGAGACCCCTGCCTGTGAAGCCCTCAGCACACTTCTTAAGTCTCTCACACCCAAAATATGTCACTAAAAAGCATAAAGAAGGGTACTCCTCGGTGGTCTTGTGTTTAAGACTTGGTGCTTTCACTGCTTAGGACCCGGGTTCTATCCCCAGTTGGGGATTTAAATGTAGGTACTAGACTATGGCACAGCAGTGAAGAATCCACTTGCAGTGCAGGAGACACAGGTTTGATCCTTGGGTTGGGAAGATCCCCTGGAGGAGGAAATGGTAACCCACTCCAATACTCATTTGGAAAATCCCACGAACAGAGGAGCTTGGTAGGCTACAGTCCACGGGGTTGCAAAAGTTGGACATGACTGAGCAGGCATGCACAATGCCTAGCGTATGAGGTAAGGGAGCAGCTGATAATTTGGTATTCTGTCAGTGTCTGTTTCTGAGAGTGAACGGTTGGTTCACAGCTGACAAGTATCCAACAGAGCAAAAAACTAAAAGAAAAAAAAAACCACAAAAAACACAAAAACGGTACTAAAAAGATAAATTGCTTACACAGTCTTTGTGAATCAAGTGATGATTTCACTCAGTGGTTCCCAAGCCGGTAACATCAGCATCACCAAGAATTTGCTAAAACTGCCTGTACGTGGTCAGTCCATAGATAACCTGAACCTGTAGCTCCCAAGACAGCATTAAATCCTGGGGCGTGTGAGAACAGCAATCACACACCCACGGGGACATCCCAGCAGAGAAGCAAAAATGAGATGTTGCCTTGAAGACACAATTTCACAATCACTTCTGCCCATATGCCACTGTCCGAAACTCATCGACATGGTCCGTGGAAGAGAAGCTGGGTGTTGATAAAGAAACAATTGGATAGGAGACCATCTACCCAGTTTCTAGCACAATCTATCAGTTCAGTCACTGGGATAATGGATTTTATTATCCCTCCCACACATTCAGCACTGTTTATTACTTTTGGGTTGAAAACCTCAAACCCCATTCCTCTGCTCTTAACCTAAACTAAGACAACAAGGCAATAAAAAAGAAAATAAGTTGGTACTCATTCCCAGTATTATGGTTTTAGAATACAGTGGCAGGAACTACTAAGGACCTGCTGAAGAAAAAGCCTGCCAATCTAGATTTCTGTATGCACAGCAAAGCTGCCTTTTAAGAAAAAGTATGAGTAGGCACTTCTCTGGTGCTCCAGTGCTTGAGTCCTCGCTCCCAATCAGGGGGCAAGGGTTTGAATGCTGGCTGGGGAACTAAGACCCCACGCGCCACAGGATGTAGCCAAAAAAAGAAGAGTATGACTGTTCTGAACTCCATATGGGAAATTTAATAGAAAATTAACACACAAAATGAAATCCTAAAGTTTATATTTAAGGATTTGGAAACTGATCTCAGATGGAAGACCTGCAATGATAAAACAACGAGGATCCAAGAGGGTAAATGCCTGTGTAGATGGATATAACTGCTCATAATTTGTATTAAACATGAATGATGGTTTCCTTGTGGAGTTAGAATGATGGAATTAACATACAAGGTCTCAACACACAGACTGAGATACAGATATACTGGTAAGTGTCTTACATAGTAGGGAAGAAGAAAAAGTACTGATAATTCTGTGCTCTACTGTTTTTAATAAGTGCTTATAAATCTTAAACAATAACAAACACAATTAGAGAATATGCTTTCCAAACTAGAATAAAGAAAACCTATAAGTAATTAATAGAAAGCTTAAAGGAGAGGAGGGCAGAAAAAGAACAAGTGATGCAAAAAAATCCAAACATAAGAGTGCATATTTAAACTCTAATTATGTATATCAACTATAACATTAAATAAATATGGGATAAATTAAATTAGCAGTCAGTACTTTTGGATAGCTCAAAATTCCCTTCACAAGAGATTTTTAAAGGGAGGTTTTGAATTTCTATTCAGAGAAATAGAAATCTGACTGATGGAGAACCAAGACTTTATGCTGAATGTCACTAGAGCCCATGATCAAGCTTCTTAAGAACTAAAATCTGCTGAGAAGCCATCAGGAAATTACAAGCACCACATCTCCTGATGAGGAAAGAAGAGAATGGCATGGAGGGGTAACTTGTGAGTAACAGCAGCCAACTTTTAAGCACATCCACATACCCAGCCATATGAAAGTCTTTTTACAACACTATCCTTTAACCTGCACAACCACCTAGTGAGGCATGTTGGTCAACACACTTGTTACATAAATAATGAAGGCTCCAATGGTTAATCCAACTTCCAGTTTACAAGGGAGAAAACCAAGAACCCAAAAGTTCCCTGAGTTGGTCTGAGTTATGGGCACCACTAAATACCACAGCTGAGAATGCTGGCCCAAGTGACAGAAATCTCATCACTGCTCTACTCACCCTCCTGCCTAAAGTCATATAATCTGGGCAGGGCCAGGACCCTTCCTGAGTCAGAGAAATAAGGTTATGGAAAATTCAACTGCCCAAACTACCAGAATGAACTGCAAGAAGTCTTTCTGACTTTTGTGTGTCCCAGAAAAGGACCTTCAGCCTCACTCACCACACTTGTAAAACTGGGAACTGTGAAACTTGTGACTAAGAAACTGGAACACACTGTCAAGCCATGGGTCATGCTTCCTATGGATGCAGAGGGCTCTGTCAAGGACTGAAGGGGCAAAGTCACTCCCGGAGCCTCACCCCAACATCCAAACTATGCACATGTCCCATCAGCTCTGCCTCTTAACGTGTCCCAGGTCATCTCCAAAGCCACCGTCCTGGGCCAGTCCACTGTCAACGTCCTCCTGGAGTGTAGTGATCTCCTCTCTCCAACATCAGTTCCTGATCCTCCTCAGTCCATGCTCCACACAGCAGCCAAAGGGAGGCTCAGAGACAAATGACGTCATCCCACTGTCCTGTGAGTCCCTTCCTCAGCTCCCAGAGCAGCTGCAATACAATCCACATTTCTCATGATGCCCTGCCCCTCCCATCTCACTGCCCACCACCTGTTTCCTTTGGACCCACTGGTTTTCAGCTGTTTCCTCTGACAGTCCCGGTTCTGGCCTGCCTCAGGACCTTGGCACATGCTGTTTCCTTTGCAAGTCGTGCTCTTCTCCATCTTCAAACATGACTGAGGCTCTTCCATCCCTCACAGTCTGCATATCAACCCTGTATACCTTCTGTTCCTCTTCCCATGCATTACAGTTTAACAGACATCTTTCTACTTTCACAATGCAGACAGACTTGTGGGGAAATGACATGACTAAGGTCATCCAGATGGTGATAGGCACAGCTCAGGAATGTTGGCATCCCAACTGTCCCCAGAGTCCAAGCTTGCAGCCACTGGACCACTCCTCCTGATCACATCTGGCCTCCATGCCAAAGTTTTGACCTTGTTCTTCATTATGCTGAATGGGGATTGCAGGCATGTTACTATCACAGCAACAACACTGACATACCTCACTTGTGTGTTATCACGTCTGTTTCCCATTCTAGACATGAGTCACAAGACTCATGTCCCAGTCACCCATGTATCTCCATAACCCAGGACACTGCGTGGAGCAACAGGGATGAAAGATGGGGTTCTCACGACTCCTGCCCATCAAACCAGCAAGAACACAGTGGACCCCTCTGTACACAGAAAATTAGATGGGGTGACACAAGTCATTAGGGAAAGGGGTCCTTCATCCATGGGGATGCACATAACTCCTGTGTTGGGACAAAGTGGGTTCCAGGTCTCTTTGTGGGCCATGTAACAACAAGGAGCTTTGAGGTGTAGAAAGAAAATCCTTCTGCTGAGAACCAAATCATGTCTTGGGACAAGATCTCCGCAGTGAAAGGGCTCAGCTACAGCTAAAGGGAACACACAATCACATCAAAACTGAGCACATGAGGGGACACATGGTGTTACTTGGGTACATAGTCTCAGATGCCAAAGAACATTTTTCCTCTGGCCAACTATTCACCACAATAGTTACTTTAAAGAAGTCCTCCCAACATGAGTTTTCTGATGCTGACTGAGCCCAGTCTTCTTGTAAAAGGCCTTGCCACAACTCATACATGTGTAGGATTTCACTCCACTGTGAATCTTTTGATGGGTGGTAAGGGTTGAGCTGTAGCTGTAGGTTTTTCCACACTCACGGCACTCATAGGGCTTCTCCCTAGAGTGACACCTCATGTGGCGAGTTACAGAAGAGCTGTCACTAAAGGCTTTCCCACACTCTTTGCACTCAAAGGGTTTCTCCCCAGTGTGGGTTCTATTATGCCGAAGGAAGTCAGATTGGTGGGCAAAGGCCTTTCCGCACTCACTGCACACATAGGGCTTCTCTCCAGTGTGACTCCGCTGGTGCTCCGTGAGGTGTGACCTGCGGCTGAAGGCTTTGCCACACTCAGCGCACACAAAAGGCTTTTCTCCAGTGTGAATCCGCTGGTGCTCCGTGAGGTGAGACTTGCGGCTGAAGGCTCTCCTACACTCGCTGCACTCATAGAGTTTCTCCCTAGTGTGAATGCTGTAGTGTACAGTGAGGTCTGCTTTCTTGGGAAATGCCTTCCTGCATTTTCTGCATTTATAGAGTTTTACTCTAGTGTGAATCCGCTGATGTCGAAGAAGGAAGCGATTCTTGACAAACCCTTTCCCACATTCCTTGCATTTGTAGGAATTCTTCCCTCCGTGAAACAGTGGGTCTGCCCTTGATCCACGTGACTCACATGCATGAAGATCATCTCCTGAGGAGACTTGATCTTGTAAATCTTTAGAGCCCAGACTGTCACCTCTTCCCAAATCACCACATTCAGGGATCCTGTTTCCAGGGAGGGTTTCCTTGCGAAGGACTGTTCCTGTCTTCAAATGCCCTCCCTGCTTTTCTGATGCTCCTTCCAGTTCCCAAGCTTGCCCCAACGGAGAAACACTGCAGCCTTCCTGAGACACTGACCTCTGAAGTAAGTGTCCCTTGAATAAGGCTTGCTGAGCAGCAGTAGTCTCTGTGGTCTTGGTTTTCGCTTTGTCGCCTGAAGGGAATCCAATACACAAATGAGGCCTACTAGCAATGCCAACACAGAAGAAACAAAATCACCAAGCAAGCAGGAAGAGGAAGATGGAAATGTTACCCGCTGACACCCTGCTGTGGTTTGGCTGGGGGTATGTGGTCCTGAGAACCTCACCTAAAGTGCCACGAAAAGCAGTGAGAGAACACCAAACACTGACAGAGTGAGGAGCAATGGGAACTCACGTGGCTGGTGGGAGTGCCGGAAGGTCAACCACACTGGAAACTGTTGCGTGCTTTCACTTCAAGTTAAATGTACACCTATCCCATGTCTGAGTCAATCCAATTCTGGGTATATGACCAAGATAACTGCTCATAGTGGTTATGTTTATAATGTCCAAAAAAATGCTTTGGTCACTTGATATGAAGAGCCAACTCATTGAAAAAGACCCTGCTATTGAGAATGATTTAAGGCAATAGGAGAATGAGGCAGCAGAGGATGAGATGGTTAGATAGCACCACCAATTCAACTGGACATGAATCTGAACAAACTCCGGGAGACGCTGCAGGACAGAGGAGCCTGGTGTGTTGCAGTCCATGGGGCTGCAAGGGGTCAGACATGACTGAGCGGATGAATAGCAACTACTGATATTCATCAACAGGAGAACAGATAACATAAACTTCAACATACTACTACAATGAGATATTATACAGTATGAAAGCATCACACTCCAAGTAACTGTACCACATGAATGAATATGATTTCACTTAAATCAAATCCCTTACGATTATACAGTGGAAGTGACAAATAGATTCAAGAGATCAGATCTGATAGACAGAGTGCCTGATGAACTACAGACGGAGGTTTGTGACACTATATAGGAGACAGGGATCAAGATCATCCCCAAGAAAAAGAAATGCAAAAAAGCAAAAGGGCTGTCTGAGGAGGCCTTGCAAATAGCTTTAAAAAGAAGAGAAGTTAAAGGCAAAGGAGAAAAGGAAAAATATAGCCATTTGAATGCAGAGTTCCAAAAAACAGCAAGGAGAGAGAAGAAAGCCTTCCTCAGTGATCAGTGCAAAGAAACAGATGAAAACAATAGAATGGAAAGACTAGAGATCTCTTCAAGAAAATTAGAGATACTGAGGGAACATCTCATGCAAAGAAAGAAAGTGAAGTCGCTCAGTCATGTCCGACTCTTTGCGACCCCATGGACTGTAACCCATTAGGCTCCTCCATCCATGGGATTCTCCAGGCAACAACAATGGAGAGGGTTGCCATTTCCTTCTCCAGGGACTGAACCCAGGTCTCCCACATTGCAGGCAGACGCTTTTACCATCAGAGCCACCAGGGAAGATGGGCACAATAAAAGACAGAAATGGTATGGACCTAACAGAAGGAGAAGATATTAAGAAGAGGTGGCAAGAATACACAGAAGAACTATACAAAAAAGATCTTCACAACCCAGATAATCACGATGGTATGCTCACTCACCTAGAGCCAGACATCCTGAAACGTGAAGTCAAGTGGGCTTTAGGAAGCATCACTATGAACAAAGCTAGTGGAGGTGATGAAATTCCAGTTGAGCTATTTCAAATCCTAAAAGATGATGCTGTGAAAATGATGCACTCAGTATGCCAGCAAATTTGGAAAACTCAGCAGTGGCCACAGGACTGGAAAAGGTCAGTTTTCATTCCAGTCCCAAAGAAAGGCAATGCCAAAGAATGCTCAAACTACCATACAGTTGCACTCATCTCACATACTAGTAATGCTCAAAATTCTCCAAGCCAGGCTTCAACAGTACGTGAACTGTGAACTTCCAGATGTTCAAGATGGATTTAGAAAAGGCAGAGGAACCAGAGATCAAATTGCCAACATCCACTGGATCATCGAAAAAGCAAGAGAGTTCCAAAAAAAACATCTATTTCTGCTTTATTGACTGTGCCAAAGCCTTTGACTGTGTGGATCACAACAAACTGGAAAATTCTTAAAGGGATGGGAATATCAGACCATCTGACTTGCCTCTTGAGAAATCTGTATGCAGGTCAGGAAGCAACAGTTAGAAGTGGACATGGAACAACAGACTGGTTCCAAATCAGGAAAGGAGTACGTCAAGACTGTATATGGTCACCCTGCTTATTTAACTTATGCACAGAGTACATTATGAGAAATGCTGAGATGGATGAAGCACAAGCTGGAATCAAGATTGCTGGGAGAAATATCAATAACCTCATATACGCAAATGACACTACCCTTACGGCAGAAAGCAAAGAAGAATTAAAGAGCCTCTTGATAAAGGTGAAAGAGGAGAGTGAAAAATTTGGCTTAAAGCTCAACATTCACAAAACTGAGATCAAGGCAGCTGGTCCCATCACTTCATGGCAAGTAAATGGGGAAACAGTGGAAACAATGACATACTTTAGCTTGTGGGCTCCAAAACCACAGCAGACAGTGACTGCAGCCATGAAATTAAAAGACGCTTGCTCCTTGGAAGAAAAGTTTTGACCAACCTAGACAGCATATTAAAAAGCAGAGACGTTACTTTGCCAACAAAGGTCCATCTAGTCAAGGCTATGATTTTCCAGTGGTCATGTATGCATGTGGGAGTTGGACTATAGAGAAAGCTGAGTGCCAAAGAATGGATGCTTTTGAACTGTGGTGTTGGAGAAGACTCTTGAGAGTCCCTTGGACTGCAAGGAGATCCAACCAGTCCATCCTAAAGGAGATCAGTCCTGATTATTCACTGGAAGGACTGATGCTGAAGCTGAAACTCCAATACTTTGGCACCTGATGTCAAGAATTGACTTATTTGAAAAGACCCTGATGCTGGGAAAGATGGAAGGCAGGAGGAGAAGGGGAGGACAGAGGATGAGATGGCTGGATGGCATCACCAACTCGATGGACATGAGTTTGAGTAAACTCTGGGCATTGGTGATGGACAGGGAGGCCTGGCACGTTGCAGTCCATGGGGTTGCAAAGAGTCAGACACGACTGAGCGACTGAACTGAACTGAATGAATCTCACAGACATCCTGATGATCAATAGGAGAGAAGCGGAAAACACACTATGAAGTTCTGTTTTACCCACTCGTGAATAGTGAAAATTCCTTGCTGTACTGGTGGTTATGTTTGTAAGAGGTTGTATGGACTAAGAATGCTTGCAAGGAGCCTCCTAAGGTCAGGATCTTGACCTGATGGTAGTTATTTGAATTTATTCATGTGTCAAAATTCATCAGGCTAAGCCCTTAAAGAGTCATGAACACTGATCTGTGTAAATTACGCTTCAGTTTTTAAAAAACAAAAAGAATAAGGGGAATGAATGGAAGTCTAGTGTAGACCTTTCTTCTACGAACAGCCTCTGAGAAGCTGGTTGTACAGGCAGTCACACTGATCAGAGGTCATTCTAGAGCTCAGGAGTGGGGGGTGGGGGTGGGAACTAAGAGGTAAGAACTCCCAGGAAGGCGGGAGGTGTTTCTAATGCAGGAATTTGTCTGGGGAGGGACAGAGGGTGGTGAGAAGAAAGGCTTCAAGTGGCAATCAGATGCAGATGAGTCTGAAAGGACTGAGTGAAGGAAAGAGAAGCAAGCAGTCTTTACTTCCAACAAGAATTTTCTCATAGGCTGAGGTCCCAGCAGGTGGGGAGTGGTGAGGGTTTGAGGTGAGGTGAGTGGCCTGGAGAATTGGTATAGGAGACAGAGCAGAAGTGTGGAGACCATGGGGTGTGCAGTAACATGCAGACAAGAGATGATGAGAGAGGTGGACCGGGGTGAAGTTCAGGAAGGGAATGGAGTCAGGAATGATGTGGGGTATACAAGGGACAGGAACCAGGCACGACTGGGTGAGGGATCTAACGATTGTTCGCATATAATGAACAGGACCTGGGCATGGCTGCACAAGGGATCTAATGATTGTTCAAAGCGGGTTCTGGCCTTTTCAACTTCTTGGGTGTAACCTGTGTCCCCAGGGAGGTCTCAATAAGAAGCTTCCCCAGAATTTCAGAGGCAACAGTCCCTCCCAGTCTGCAGTGACCTCCACTGCCTGGGTCTTGGCAATCCACCTGAGGAAGTGCTTGGGAAAAGTCCTCTCTTCACCATCCATAGCTCTCGTCCAGGATGCAACAGGCAGGTCAGTTCCGGTTTGGAAATGGGATACCCTATTTGTGGAGATACAGAACAAAGGTGTTTTGTAAAGACTATGAAGACTGTCTCTATAGAGTGTGGGTTTTAGGACAGGGAAGATTTCAGAATAATGGCGCTCCCATGCACGAAAAAAAAATGCTGCCCTGGGTGCTGCAGCCAAGGCACAAACACCAGCCTTGGCCAATGTCTACACCACAGCCTCCATCCTATAGAATCCAAAACCTGCTCACGTGCAGCCATGGGAGCCCTGGAAACGACACCCACTCTCCCCACAGATGTTTTCTGATTAGTCTAAGTCCGTGTGTCTCACCAGGTGATGCCGGATTCTCACCACAGGCCAGTTCAAATCAGGTCTCTGGGATCAGGCCTGGGGCCACC